GGTCTCTGAAGGTCTTCTCGATGAATCTCATGGGGGCACATGTCACATCATTGTTGCATGCTGACAACTTCAGGGGCTGTCTGCAGATGACGGCAGCCTCCATCCTGCCCTGAATGGCTCGTACTTTCTGACTCCTTGGGTATGAGTCCTGTCTCAGCAGTGGGGGTGCACCTTGCACTTAGTGGGTGAATGGGGGCTACCTTCGGGTGGACCATTTTTTTGGCCTTTTGGTAATCCAGCCTGCCAGGGAGGGTAAGGTTTTGTAATTCATCCATGCGAAGAGGCACTCGCTGTAATGTGTCTGCTCAGAGGGGACGGTTCTAATTCCAACAAGGGCTCCCCCCTGTTGGCAGCAACCGTGTCTCAGCCATCTCTGCTCTTCCAGAAGGCTGGGAAACCAGATAAGCACAATGGGATTGTCTTGTAAGTAAAATGCAGAAACAAAGCCTGAGAAAACAGATACAGGAAAAGAGCAGGAAGTTCCACAGACAGGGAACCTCCAGTTGGGCGGCTCAGAGGCCCCATGGCTCTCTTCCTAGTTCCTGGGAGTGTTCAGAATGACTGATGTTACTAAGCAAATCAGAGGATCTATGGAACACGGTCCAGTCCAGGCAGCAGAAATTGGACAAGGGTGTGGGTGTTCAGACATGAATGAGGGAGACATGGTCCTCGCCCTTTGAACTGGGGCCCTGACTTTTTAAGGATTTTCTAAGGACAGCATTGTGGCCCTAGTGGCCACATGCCTGCCCCATGATCAGCACACTGACACTCTCAGGGACCTGCGTCCACACGTTCCAGACAACGAACCCATTGCCCAGATTCGCCCCGGGGCCCCAGTGACACGCTCTGCCTAGTATAGATCGATAAAACTCACTTTTTGATGAACCACCATGCCAATGGCAAATTGAGAAGATTCAAACCACTCTATAGTGAAAAGCCAGCATCCTTACCCCTTGTCTGGGCCATCGGCTCCCCTAACCAGAAGAAGCCAGAGATTCAGAAGATCTGAATCTGCAGCCAACTCTTAAGAAGTCATATTTTAAATAAAAATCCAACTTTTACATAAAAGGAATTAACAGGGAGATCTGGTAAGACAGGGTCCACTTCCCTGCATGGCAACAGCCCACAGGCATGCCCACCCTGTGGGCAGAGGCAGAGACACCTGTGTTCCCTGGTGCTCAGGAGCTTGGCTAGGGCATCATTCATGCCACTGTGGGGCCCCTGAAGGCAGACAGTGAGCCATCCGTGAGCTACACTGCGTCTCCAGTTCTAATGTTCCAAGAGCAGCTAATGGCTTTTCAGGGGTGCCTGGGTGGCTCAGTCCGTTAAGCGTTTGACTCTTGGTTTCCGCTGGGTCATGATCTGATCTCATGGGTCATGGGACCGAGCCCTGTGTTCAGCTCTGCGATCAGCAGGGAGGCTACTTAAGATGCTCTTTTCTCTCTCTCTGCCCCTCTCCTGCCCTTGTGCTCTCTCTCCAATAAATAAATAAATCTTAAAAAAAAAAAAAAAGGATAGTATTTGTGAGCTGGGCACTGGGGTTGCCAATGGTGCCCATGTGAGTCAGTCAACAAACACCCACGGAGTGCCTCTCCACTTCCCCGGGCACCATGCATGGAGTCCCATTTGTGAATGGACTTGTTGCCTCTGCTAGAATGTTCCCTGAGGGCAGGACTCTGTTTATGCACTGCTGGGTCCCCGTTACCTGACGCTGCTTATACCAGTAGAAGGCCCCCAATAAATATCTTTGAATGAACGAGTATTAGGCGCTCACAGGGAGACAGGACAGGGTCACTGTCCCTGACCGTTCTCAGGCCAGGGAGCAGAAAGAAGTCTGTGGGGGTACGGCTGGTTGGACAAATGGCACGTGAAACGAAGACTGTGTTGGTGCTCAGAATGCTGGCGAAGGAGATGACCATGTCGGGGAAGGGAACCCAGGCATGGCGGTGAGAAGGACATCACCCTCTGCCACCTGTGTGTGGGGGTCCAGCTCAGGTCCCACCTTGGACAAACTCAGGTTGTAATGTCTCACTGTGGCTTTTGTGCCACTGCCCGAGCAAAGGGCACATCAGAGATCAGCTCACGTGCCTCCCCCACTGCCCCAAGTCACCGCAAGAACGTGACAGCACAGGAAAGGAATACACCAGCCTCTGCTACCAGTCGGGGAGGTTCCCAGCAGCGGGTGTCGGCAGCAGGGAAAGCAGCCCGGGGTGGGTCCCCACCACGCAGGAGAAGCACCCCCGTCCTTGCGGGCTGCCTCTAACCCTGCCCCACCCCTCGGTGTTCCTTCAGTGTTGCCTTTACTGAGCCTTGGTGTGTGCCCAATCCCATCCTGCAGACACAGGTAGGAAAATCAGGTTTTCCATGGGGGACCCAGTAAACAGATAGATTCACTCACTCATTACTTCGTTCAGCCCCTTCTATACAGGGAGACACCGTTCCAGGTCCTGGGGATAGGGCAATCATTTAAATGATTTAAATCATTAAATATTTAAAATATTTAAATCATTAATATTTATATTATTTATATATTAAATATTTATAAATAAATATTAAAATCATTAAATAAAAAAGAGACAAAAACAGCTGCTCTCATAAAGACCTGACTTTACTGGCTGTGTTGCGAGCATGCAGGGGACGGACGATAGACTCGATAATTAAGTCATATACTAGCTGACAGTCAGTGCTGTAAGGACAAGGCCGGGGAGGGGAATGTGGGGCTCCGGGGCTCGGGGTGAGGTTTCTAGAAGGTTGCTCAGGGAGATCTCATGGAGGAGGTGAGCTCTGGGTAGAAACCTGCGAGAGGCATGGGAATGAGTGGGGCCATATCGGCCTGAGATGTTCCGACTGTATTCTCATGTGCTTGTCACACCATGAGTCATCAAGTCGTCTATCTTGGACTCTCGAGTCTTATGTTTTCCGCTGGCGAAACTGTGGCTGGCTAACTGAATAGTTAGGAGGAGGGGGAGATTTGAGGCGCTTCACAATTCTTTATGTAGGGACAAGATGAGAGACAAAGGGTGAATGACTGGGCTGGGATTCAGAGGGTACCATTCCTTAAATACAGAATATTCACAATAAACAGTCCTCAGAGCAGGTGCAAAGCCAGCTGGTCATGGCCTTGGAGTGAAACACACCAGGGACCCACCATAGAACCACAGAAGTGGCTGGAGAAAGGTGGAAGGAAGAAGCCAACCGGAGCCGGTTCCCAGCTGCCGTTCCCAGCCCACTGCTGGTGCAGGACAAGGTGGGGAAGACTTTTAGCTACAGGAAGGGCTCAAGGAAGCAGGCTCGGGGATCCCAGAGGAGGATCTGGGGAGGCCTGGCTCAGGGCCCATGTTCCAGCAATGAAGACCCCAGCTTCTGATGATCCCCCGCCCACCCCCAGTACCCCAACCTCCCCCCATTGCTGGCCCCTGGGCCAGGTTGTTATTTACATGGAACCTCCCACACACCCTCCCTGCGGCCAACCCCCCAGGTCTACAACCAGGGAAGGAAAACACCGAGTTTCCCAAGATGGTAGCTCTGTCGCCCACCTGTCCTCGCTCTGGCACAGGGAGAAGAGACCGCCCCACCACTGACCCACTTCCTTCTCCTCCCACCAGTGCAGCCTCAACCCCCCTGAGTTTGGGGGACAGATGCTATTTCCAGCATTCTGACCTTTGTGCCCCATGGAGAATCATTCTTGCCGACAGCACACCCCGTTCTTTGGTTCAGAGCGTGTGATTAGTGGACCCACAGCAGAAATGCAAAGCTCAGCCCGTGAAGCCCACCTGGGCTTTCTAGATTCCCGAGGCGCTGGGGACATGGGGGCCCTGCTCCCAGCTGTCCCCTGGGGATGGGGCAGGCCTGTTTCCCCTGCCGTGTCTGCCTCTGGCCGGGGAGGAAACACCTGGATGTGAGGGAGAGCCAGTCTAGGCGGTGGGGGGTAAGGGAAGGAGAGCATTGTTCTGCGGGGGCGCGGGGGTGGGGAGGGCAGGGAGCCTGGGAGGAATCTCCCGGGGACCAGGTTCACAGCCACCACAGCCAGACCAGGCAGGGCCCAGGGAGGCGCTGTGTGGCCAAGTGGCTAGGCTGCCTGGGTTCCAACGCTCTCTGTTGCTGTGAGTGACATCTTGAGCTACTGCTTAGAACCTCTGTGCCTCAGTTTCCCGATCTTTAAAGGAGAGCTAATAATAGCACCAACCTCGTAGGAGTATTGCCAGGACTAAATGAAAGGATGCTCACCAACCTCTCAAAGGAAAGGCGCAGAGCATCTCCCGCCTGCAAGCCCTCTAGGAGTTCCAGCTTCCACAGCCAGAGTCGCGAGCTGCACATTCCCACAATCCCCTCCGCCGCATTCCCACAATCCCCTCCGCCGCATTCCCACAATCCCCTCGCCCCATTCCCACTATCCCCTCGCCGCATTCCCACAATTCCCTCCGCCGCATTCCCACAATCCCCTCCACCGCACGCCCTCCCCTGCTCTGTGAGTTCGCATACCTGCTGTCTCACCTGTGCACACAGACGCTGCCTGCCCCTCCAGGCTCACGTGTCGCCTCCCACAGAACCCCCCCACCCCAAGGTTGCCTGCGCGAACCCGCCTCACCTCACCGAGGCCCCCCACGCCCTTTACTTTCTGTGGGTCACTCATGCCACACTCGACGCCACAGCGGCTGGAGCACGGAGACTGGCCTTGCGCGGCCCGGGGAGAAGAGGCTCGATCGTGGGCGCGGAGAGAAGCGGCCGGGCCAGCGTGATGGTCACCTGCGTCCCCGGGGGCAGGACGGACAGAGGATGTCCCAGAAGGGGTGCGGGCGGGACCAGAAGGATGACCCTGACCCGGCGCCTGGCTCGCCTGCTCTGCAGCCCTTGCCACCTTGCCTCACATCTCCGAGCTACGAATCAGGCATCAAACGCGCACCCGGCCCATCTGCCGTTGCTCGGGAGAAGCCTCGGCTGGTGAGTACGCGCGGCTGCGCCCCGCGTGTGTCAAATGTTACACTATTATGGACACTTACAGCATTCGGGGAGGAAAGAAGGAGGTCCTCTCATGGGTCCTGGGTCCTTGCTTCTTGTGAAAAGGATTAGATGATAGTCACTTGGCCCAGTGCCGCTAGTGGCCTCCGTATCTCGGTAACCCTTCTCTGGAAGGCTTGCTACGGAAGAGCCAGGGGCGTCTTAGCCCCTCGAGGCTCCCAGCCGACATCCCTCCTCCCAGCCCCTCCATCGGCTCTTCTCCGATCTGCGTCTCCCCGGCTTCCTCCCAGGACACCTTACGCCCCCGCGATCACCTACCTTGTTTCGGGAGGAACTCGGTTCCCCTAAGTCTTTCCGCTGACCGGCTCCCCACGGTCCGGCTCAGGGAGGCCGCCCTCACCGGAGACCCCGATGACTTTAGTCTCCACGGCAGCCTCCGCTCTGCAGAGAAAGGCCCCGTGTGGCCCAGGCCCGGTTCTGTCCCCTCCTCTTCCTTCCCCTTCCCCGTGGCCTTCAAAGCTCCTCCCAGAACACATCCTGCACTGAAGCTGATTTCTGCAGAAGCTCTGTGGTCACCCCGGAGCCCTGGGGGTTCTTTCTTTGGAAGAGGTAGAAGGGAGCACCTCCACAGAGCACCCTCCCCCCCCCCCCCCCGCCCCCCCCCCCCCCACCCCCGGTGCTGACCAGGCTGTGATGCCAGGAGAAGCCCTGACCTCTCTCCCAAGCTCCAGACACCCCAACCCCACTGTCCTTGCCCGGACACTGACAGCCAGAGGGTCATCCAGCATATCCAGCTCAACCTGGACAAACCAGGCTCTCTTCCCCCACCCCCTGCAAACCCACCTCTCTGCTCCTCATCTCAGAATCAGAAACTTGGGTGTCAGCCTCAACACCTCCTTCTCCCTCATCTGTTCCATTTAAGTGGAACCAAGTCTGTGTCATAAATTGTCCCCTTTTCCCACCCCATGGCTCTCACCCCTTCATTGGGCCACCATTGTCCTCCTCCTGAATGACCAGAGAAGCCTAATCCTGCTTCCACCTTCCAGCCAAAGGCCCCTCTCTGGTGCTGAAACACAAATCTGATCACATTACGTCCCCAGTACAGCCTTCAATGGCTCCCTGTTACCTTTAGGAGAGTGGCCAGACTCCCAAGGCCTGTCTCGACCTGGTTGTTCCCTGAACCCAAACCCAGGTCCCATCACTGTGACCTGTCCCAGGAATCTTGGACACCTGCAGCTCCCTAGTGGTCCAGGTGGCCCCTGAGCTCCAGGCTGGAGCATGTGCTGTGGGGTCCCTTTCATCTTCCCAACTCCAGCAGAAAAGAACAAAAACACAAGTCAGAGAGCCTGGAGAACAGCAGAGTGCCGTGCAAGCTAGGGGAGGGGAGGGTGCCAAGGACATGGCGGTCAGTGGCATCAAAGACTGCAGAGAGGACACCGGTAAGGAGGCCAATGAAAGCATCTGCTGACCTCGGCAATTAGGAGGGAGCAGTTCCAGGGAACAGACCACCTCCAAGGTATGGACCCATTGACTAGCTCCTCATGTTCTTTTTTTTTTTTCTCACACTTTGAAGCCAAGCAATATTTTGGGAAATCTTCAGCACCCTTCTAGACCTTTGGAAAGCTCACAGACACTGTGCTCTCAACTGATTTTGCCTAATGGTAAATGGTTCTGGAGAGAGACTGATTGTTCAGACAGTGCCGTTTGAATGCCGTTTGAATGCCTGAAACCCTAATGCCTGGATATACTCCTAATTGTTTGACTACGTGATTCATTGCATTCTCTTGCCTTTTTTCAGTAAGACGGTTTGAGTTGGATTTCTGTCACTTGGGTTTCTCCTTTGCAAAAAAGAAGTGACTGGTCTTTTTTCCGCCAAGATTTGGATGGGTTCTGCAGAAGAATGCATTAAAAAAAAAAAAAAAAAGTCCAGAATTTTAAATCATTTGCTCCGTGGGTCAGTCTCCCTGCCATATGTAATTTTCTGCACCCCCTCACATGACTGGAATTACATTCTACGCCTTTGAGTTCTGCCTCATCTCTCCACCCTCCCCTGTAAGTCCCAGGGAGGCAGAGGCTAGATCTTACTCAGGTCTTACTCATTATCCTATCAGTCCCAGGACAAGAGACTCTTAAGAGACTGTTTGGCTCATTAAATACAACAAATGGATGGATGGGGGAGTGAATGAGGGCAGTAAGTCCAGGACAGGATAAAGACCAGGGACTCCACCCTTGCATGACCGACACTCAGCAGCAGCCCCAGTCAGTGTGGCCATAGTGGGCAACCCTCTCTCCTTATCAGTTTCAGCCTAACTGAATCGGAAATCACAAGCTGACAGGGCCTCCTGTGGCTGCGCTGTCCTCTTTCAACAGCTAACATCTTGGCCTGCACACTGGGTGTGATAGCCACAGGCTGCCTGGTGACCATGGACAGCCCCAGAGCTGTCCCCTGCAAGGAGCAGCTGCACGACAGGCAGCCAAGAACAAGGAGAAGTGAAGAGGAGGGAGAAAGGAAGGACCAAGGACCCCTAGGTGTCCCTTGCAACACCCAACCATCACCAGGGTGAGGTGGCACTGCCCTTTTGACTGATCCCAGGGACGCCTTGCCTCTCCAGAAGCTCTTCTTAGGGTGGAATCTCTTTTCCAATGTTGCAAAAAAACCAAAAAACAAAAAAACAAAAAAACCCACCAGCCCCTTCTAGTCACTGCGATACTTTGTATCATTGTCTATCCATTACTAAGCAGCCAAGAGCTTTAAGCAAATTACATTTGTAACTTTTAAACCCATTACATTAAATCCTTTTGATAGACAGCAGTGGGCAAGGGGACCAGAGCTAGGATCCGGGCACTGGAGTCACTCAGGCTTGTTTGCTTTGGATACAAGATGCCCGGGGTCACCTGTGGGAATTGTCTCGGGAAGCTTAAGCTGCAAAGGCAGACTTCCATCAGGCCTTGCTGTTTTCTAAGGAATCCGCCCACAGGAAATCCCAATAAGCAATGTAGATCTTCCTGAAGATTACAGGGTGAGGATGGCAAAAGCCTGTACACATCTCCTAGCAAGCGATTTAACAATCCTCCGTGGGAAAGACAGATATCATTTGATGCCACTCATATGTGGAAGTTAAGAGCCAAAACAGAGGAACAAAGGGGAAGGGAAGGAAAAATAAAACGAAAGCAGAGAGGGAGACAAACCACAAGAGACTCCTGACTGTAGGAAACAACCTGAGGGTTGCTGGAGAGAAGATAGCTGGGGGAGAGGGGTAACAGGGTGGTGGGCATTAAGGAGGGCACGTGGTGTAATGAGCACTGGGTGTTCTACGCAACTGATGAATCTCTAAAGTCTACCTCTGAAACTATTAATACACTGTATATTACTTAAATTGAATTTAAATTAAAACCTAAAAATAAAAATCCCCCATGGACATCCTATTGTCCAGACACCCTTGGTCTGTGCCATGCTGTTGGACTGGTGGGCTGGGGTAGGGTGAGGGGTTTTTCTGCTTTCTCCTCTCTCCCCCAGTGACTCTGAATCACACACTCCTAGCTCCTCCCACCCAGACTTTTTCACAAAGTGAAGTCTTCTTAGAAGTGCATTCAGGGCAGGTGCCTGGGTGGCTCAGTCGGTTACGCATCCGCTTCAGTTTGGGTGGTGATTCCGGGGCCCTGGGATCAAGTTCCGCGTCGGGCTCCCTGCTCAGTGGGGAGTTTGCTTCTCCCTCTGCCTGCTGCTCCCCCAGCTTGGGTTCTCTCAAATAAATAAAAGCTCCTTAAAAAAAGAAGTGCATTCAGTGCCCTATACCTCCATCCTGACCACTGACTCCAGGTTTATAATCCCCAAAACTCAAGAACAACACCCAAAACCAAATGGCTGTCTGGTTAGTGAGAAAGGCAGGAGAGGTACGCAGATGGAAACACACCTTCCTTCACATATACAACCATCTCCAGACCTGGGACAGTTATGGAGATGGCTCACCTACGTGGTGGGGGGTGGGACTCGAACCAGGGGCTTCCCGCAGCTCCCCTGGGAGGACCTACGGGGACAAGTCAGAGAGAAGCTTGGCCCACCCTCTTGGGCTCTGATTCCCACTCTTAAGAAGACTCAGGCAGGACACAGCAGGTACCCACCTGACGTGCACCTCTGCTTCCAGAGAATTCCCTCCAGCCCTCAGAGCACGGCCCAGGGAAGCAGGGGCGGAGGACGACGTCATGCTTTAAAGCAGTGGTCCGCCACAAGCGGTCCCAAAATCAGTGGCATCATTTTCTTTTGGGAACCTGTTAGCAGCTAGTAGTCTCAGCTATGGGTGTGGAGAGACTGAAGAATACGGTGTCCTGGAATTTCCATCCTTATCTCTAGCAGGGCTGTCTTGTGGGGTGAGTGTGCATGTAGAATTAGGACTAGAGTCAGGGGACCGTTGTAGGAAGCAGGCTTGTGCTCTATATCCATACACTCGTTCTTTCAGACAGTCTTATTTTTGAGGAAAGAGTTTTGATTGTAATGTCAACGTGGTTTTTTTTTGTTGTTGTTTTTTAATTTTAGTGTTTCAAAACATTACTTAAGGGGCACCTGGGTGGCTCAGTGGGTTAAGCGTTCTCCTTCAGCTTAGGTCCTGATCCCAGGGTCATGGGATGGAGTCTGCTTCTCCTTCTCTGCCCCCCTCCCCGCTTCTGTTCCCTCTCTTGCTGTCTGTGTCAAGTAAATAAATAAAATCTCTAATAAAAAAATTACTCAAGCCACTCACAGATACATTTTCATTACAAAAACACTCCTATTACAGAAGTATACAGAGTGAAAAGGAGCACACACACCCCCAACCCCTCCCTCCTAGTATCGTTTGTTTTTTTTTTTTGTCTCCACCCCGTGCCCGCTGGGGGCGATTATGCAAAGTGATCTTCCCCAGGCTTTGTTTACCTCGAGAGCACCGGAAGATCAGTACAAAAGGATCATTTCTTAAACGTCAAAGTCGGTATTTCCTGGCCCAGCACCACACGCACGTGGGTCCAACGCAGGGAAAATCAGCCCATTCCCCCTCGTACACACCGGCCTCCAAGGTGGAGAAGAAAACTTCCCTCTCCAGGATTTTCCTGGTCTGTGCACCTGTCGTCCTTCCAGTCTCCTCCGGACCTCCGGGCAGGGGCGGAGAGAGCCCTGGGCAGCCCTGGGGGCGGGGCCTAGTCTCCCCGCACCTCCCCCGTCCTCAGGCCAGACGGGGGCTGGAGAAACCGAGCTGGGGAGCAGGTCTGAGCACTCCCCAAATGTGAAGGGGCCTGGAGCCTCCTGTTTTATAAGAGACGCATCACAGTCGCTGTGTTCTTGCACAGGAATTCCCACTAGGAATAGAGACAGGCCAGCAGGTCAAGAAAGCTGGACGTCAGGAGGGCTGGGG